ATCACATGGTATGGACATTTTATGTGACAAATGACGGGGACATAAACCAAAGTATTAAAACTGAATGTGGATGGCTACAAAAGTAGAGAACATATGGCTGATAGAGATGTATGGAAGAGCAGCACATACTGTGCCAACCCTCCATAAGGGGTAAAGGCAAGTGGATGATGATACATTTCATTGCTTACAATATAGTTTATTTTCTAGGCATATATTTTAGAATATCTCAACATTTAAATTAATGTCAAAAACATATCAATTTTTCATCATCATAATTCTATAATCACAGCATTATAAAGATTTGTAACTTAAAGGTTTTCAAATCATTTCTAATTCCTATTAAATTTGACTTACACTGTGTCCTAAAAATTAACCTGATTGTTTTAAATTTAAATTATAACTAAAAACATACCTGGGAAAACTGGCAATGGAATTCTACCACTCTTTGTAAGTAAGCCAAATTTATCGGAAGTGACTGGTGTGTTAAAAGGTGCACCCTTCTCTTTCCAATCGGGGATAAGTTCATTTAATGCTATAGGGTCAACGCAGGCTCCTGACAATATATGCCCACCAATTTCAGCTGCCTTTTCTAACAAGGTTACTCTTACTTCCTGAAATATGAGATGATACAGGATATTTTTATTGCCAGCAAAAATATCTATACTAATATAATAAAGCGTAAACACACACTTCTTTGTCGCCTAAAATGTCAGCAATCACAGCATATTTTCGAATAACCCTTTTTTAATAAAAAGCCCTACACTTAAGTCATGCTTTAGGCTATATATTTTTACGCCCTTAAACTTAGGGGGTAAATATTTTGGATAAAAACCCTAATGTGGGAAAGAGACCAAAAGTAGCTGCCAACATCAAGAAAGAAAGATTGCTAAGGTTTGTCATGTCATGTCATATCATTTTGACATTTGCTATTGATAATTTGACAAGTGTAAACAATAAAATAGAATTTTCATAATTTCATGTGGATGAAGCCGCACAGGAACAGCTAGTTATTAGATAAAAAGATAAATCAGAATTCATAAAAAAATCAATTTTTTTTAAGAATGGGGGAAACTATCATTAAAATAGAGTGAATGAACATATTTTGATATGTTTATTGCAAACAATCTGTAATAAGCTTTTTATGGATAATATTTCAATATTGATTTGCACATTTTTAACTATTTAAAACACTAATGTTACTTACAGCCCCCTTTTCTTCTGCTATCTGTCTCGCTCTGATTGCAGCTGCCATTCCAGCTGGCCCTCCACCAATAATGAGGATATCTGTCTCTTCTGCCACTCTCTCCATATTTACATCTACAACAAAACATTACAAATCTTACTAACTTTTACTACTATTTTCCTGTTATACTTTATATCAGATTAGTTAATATTATTGTTATAGACACTTGATATAAATGTATACATTTATTTTAACTAACCTTGACATTATTGAGAAAGTTTAACAGTGAAAATAAATTTTAAAAGAGTTGAACGGCAAATGTTTAATTTAAAACACAAACAAAGATATGGTGCTGTGACGTTGATTAATTTAATCATGTTGGTAAAATAGCGTTATCTCAATTTAGAATTTATCACTCACCTTTCCATCTTGGGTCTTTATCACGGGGGTATACTGTATAGTGGGTGGTTATTTTTGGATAAACATCTGAATACAACCTCCTGGCTGCATTTGTTAGCCTCCCCACTGGAAAATAAAAAAAATTAGCGAAAAACAAAAATAAAAACATTGGACCAATCAATGAACTTTGAACTTTGATATTTATTATGACATTGCGTAAGTGTTCTAATGAATATATCGATACGCAAACTCTCTTATAATGGAAACTATTTAAATAATTTAAAGCCATATTCTAAAATAAAAATAAAGTTTTAAGTTTTAACTCCACAAACAGCTGACGATAAGTTAGTGTTAAAGTTAAATATAACTTTAACTAACCTCAACTTAGTAACAAAAACTTGCAAGAGTATTATAGGTATACAATATAATTAATTTTTTAAGTAAGAAACACGTATTAAAAATATTTTATTTACCCTTGCGAGCCGAACTAACAATCGCTGTCGCCATCTTTACAACAACATCCGTTCCGTTCCGGAATTCTATTCGCTGTCGACTTGTTGGCTAATCTTAACTGAACTTATGCTTCACACTCACAAAACTAAAAGCAAAGTCCAAAATGACATTTCAAGGAAATAATTTGCCACAGGATAAACCGTGGAAGTTTTTTGCCTTTATTTGTAAAACTATGTAATTTTATTGGATAAACTTTCATTGATCAAAATTACATTTTATGTTTTAACACCAAAAGTGACATGTTACTCTGTGTGAAATGAAACGTTTCGTTTTCATTTTCATTTCGCGGGAAACTTTAAAACAAAAGTTACTTGTTATTTGATTTGATCTGATATATGAAATAATATGCTTTGCTAAAACTAATTCGTTAATATGGTAAGTGTAGAATTATATTTCATGCGTATTGAACTGAACAAATGAAAGTATATGAAGAATGCAGAAATAAGATTCTGTAATATTCGATTTTGCTTAAGGCAATCGTTTTGATTACAAGGGTTTGACAAATATTTTCATTTCTTTCCCTAGTGTAGAGAATGTCTACAGTCATATTAAGTTCAAATATTCCACATTTTGGGTAAATTAAAACAGATCATTAATTTAGAACACGTTTATTAGAGAAGCTTAATAATATTATGTGCGTTGTTTTAGTAAATGGTAATTTATTTGACGGGCTTCATCTGCCACAGGCCATCGTTCAGGTAATGGAAGTTCTCGATTCCGACGCCTTTATTCACTTTGGCTCTGAAAACAAAAAACATAACCTCAAAGAGCTTATTAATGAAGGGGATTTAGACAATGAAACTTATTACTGCTACCACAATATGATAGTACAACTTGTAATTTCACCATAGCATACAACTTAAGTGTCTAAAAGAGATTATTGCTTGTGGAACTAAAGGTGGCTAACTAGAATTTTGGAATTCTGTTCTAGTTGCCAAAGAATCTGTTCCAAATTAAATCCATTTAATTCACTAGATATATGGAGAACGAAATATATCGTTTCAGCACTTAGAGGGTGCACACCTTTGACTTATGCTGAAAACCAGCGCGACCTTCAGTGACAAGCTGGAGGCCGCATCAGCTGAGCCTTTCCCTTTTGACCAAGAGTTTGTATCTTTATTTTTATTTCATTAATAATTGTGAGTTATGTTCTTTTAATTTTTCTTTTTGGTCAATAAATAGTGTTTTATTTATTTTATTTTTTTATTTATTAAGTACCTCACAACTGTTTAGTCTAAACTAAACAGTTGAATTGGCTGCTAAACAATCGACAATCGCACAAGTTGTGCGATAATTTAGTTTCAGGTGTGTGCACGATCTTAAAGGATTACATTGGACGGTTAACAACTTAGGTGGAATCATGATCAAGCGCTGGTTTATTTATGATTTAAAAAACTTTAAGGACGATGTTTACGATGAATTCTGTCTTACATATCATCTGTAGACAATGACGTCATCCCAACAGCCAGCGCGTGCTGTTTCCCTTCAGCCATTACAGCTACCGCTTGTCCCTTATCCACGGAGGACATGCGGGCCCCTGGTGACGTCAGTCCGGGGCACATAATGTTGGCACCACTGAGCACGAAGCGGATCGCGCCTTTATCAACTTGCTGCATCGGCAGAAAGAATGGATCTGGAAATAGAATGTTTTTTTTATTGTAGTAAGAAAAAAATATCATCTCTAGAAAAGTGTTAAACGTAATTCGTTATCTTTATTACCACTGAATACTTAAACTTAAGTTTTTCTGATCCTTACGAAACATTTTCACCTACTTGGTAAGATCAAGTGAGCGTCTTAAGAAGTATATTCTCAAAGTGACGATTTTATTTTTACTGATATAATGGCAATAGCTTAACATCTTTATTGAGTACATTTCTTCTTACATTTGTGCAATAACCTCAAAGTGGGCATCCACGGTCCCTCTCGGTGACGGAAGAATAGCAGCTCGCCCGCGCTGTTCACCATGATCTCGATATGGTCATGGCTGGAAACATTAAAATAGTATTTTATAATTGCGATAATATATACCTATCTATGCTAATATTATAAAGAGGAAAGATTTGTATTTTTGTATATATTGAAATAACTAATGGGCCGATTTCAATAATCCCTGCACCATTAAAAAGCTCTGTTATCTCAGTAACATAGGCTGTATTTTTACTTTTATTTAATTCCGAACGAAGTCGCGAGCAACAGCTACTATATAATAAAGTCTAATTTATATTTCCACAATTTGAGAATCATCACAACCTTCTTGAGAACAAATGAAAATCAGCCGAATAACAATTTGAATCGTTGGGATACAAAATGCTTGCATTTCTTCGGGAAATATTACTTTGGTTCTACTACGGATATAATTTCTAAACCAATTTCGTAAAAACACTCCAGCTATTACCCTTGGCGTGACCTTGCGCAATTTAATGGCGTTCGTATTGCATCAAATTCACAATATAAGTACCATTTAACAATCCTAAATGTGTCCTTCTTGGGCAGCACTTGGTCAATATGGTTCTCAAGATGAGGGTATAACTCAAGCAGACGAGCTCGTATGCCCTTCTGCACCGAGGACTTCAACTGCTGCACTCCCGATATGCTCTCCTTCTCGTCGAATCTGAAATTGAGATATCATTTTTAAATACACTGTCCCGCGATTGTGTGATAGAGGCTCAGATAGCTTAAAAATGACGTCACTGTCAGATAAGGTAATAAAATCCGATACTTTCAACACATATTTTACACGTTGGATTGTTAGACAATTTACAATTTGGAACAGGCTCTGAAGAACGTAAGTACTGTAGCAGTACTGTAGAAGATACATAGAAAGGTTAGGTCAAAGAATATTCTTCTCCCCCGATACCAAAAAAAGGTCAAAGAATATCCTGTGTAAAGAAACTATGCCATTGTTTTTCCAGAACTTTGTTCATCTTTAACATTGTCTAATGAAATAATTATTGTAGTCAGTAAGTGTTATGTATTTTTAGTGTATTATTTTGCTAGTAAAACTTCTTCAACTAATCATATTAGTTTAAAAAAAAAAACATTTACTAGTGATGTTCGATGAAATGCTAACGTAAATTAAGTTTTTAGACGTCAAAGAATATTTAGCAAGTACTTAATGGAATATGGATTCCATTCTAAAGGACAAAGATGTCGAAACCTTTCGCATACTAATGACACATCCCCTTCACATTTACATTAAGTAGACTATAACAACGTGAAGAGTGAAATTTTAAAGGCTTCTTGGAATGTATTCCATGTATTAAAGTATAGAACCGTTCAGAGTGATTAAAACGTGTTAGGAGTACTGAAGCAAATGCTGTGTGGGCGGTCGCTTAGTACATCCAATTGAGTTGCCAACTAGAGTGACCACACATCACACGAGTTTTTTTTTAAATACACTTCGAAAATAGACATGCTTTGTAACACATAGTCTTGGTAAAATACCTTACGCATCTGAAAGGTGATTTTACTTAATTATCACATAGCCATTACAAAATTTTATCTTTATGGCGGCTTAAGAACCGTTTAGACAGACCGGGCCGGAGGGTACAGCAGATTTTTTATTTATATCTACACTAATATTATAAAGAGGAAAGACTTTTTTTATGTATTGTAACAACCCAAATATACTTGGCCGATTTCAAAAGATACGTTATGAGCGAGTAACATAGGCTATATATTTTAATTTAACGCGGGCGAAGTCGCGAGCAACAGCTAGTCTCTAATAAAATTAAACTTTGCATGATTGAACTTAGGTTTAATTTTATTTTAGCTGCAAGTGCATATTTTGCATTGCTGGGTGACAGATGGAAGGGTTACGACTCATTTAAACGCAATACAGTTTGTAGCGTGTGTGTTTATGACTTGTCCGTAAAATGTTGATATATGGACACTGTATCTATTGCTAGAAAGTGCGTGTATACATTTATTCGTTAGCATTGCAAGCAGCTCACGTGCATGCAATGGCTTCAGAGAGCGGCCTTGTTGGACACGTGACAAATGTAATACAATAGTATTAACGGGTCAAGGTAAATTATGACGTAATTCACATTACATTATGGCTATTAACACATGTTCAAGATGCTATGGTGTTAACATTTTGTAACCGAATTCCTCAAGATGTCTGTGAGTATGTTTATTGGCGATGGTCCTTTTTGACACAGTCCTACAAGCTTTAAGTGACAGAATTTAGCCCTTTTTCTTTAGTTTAAACTAAATTAAAATGTATGACATTTACTGTTATTACTTGTAAACACAGACCATAAAGTAAACAGAAAAAACCGATAGCTTAAGTTCAAAAAACCTTAATCGCTAGTAGAAACAGATTTATTTCAGGTGCGACGCTTATCACAGTCGGAATGTGTTTCAGTCACGATTCTTGTGGATTTATTGCCAATAGTAGTAGGTTTTCACTGACGGTCCAATCCTATAAATATACATTGTCGTCTCACTCATTTGCATCAAAGAAACAGAAACCACAATATGTCTATATGAATTTTGGCAATAAAACCCACGGTATAACTTTTATTATCGTAACTCAAGTTTGTAAAAAGTAATAAAATATACAATATACATTAATTAACCAAATAGAGTTTTAAATATTTCGGTCAATATCCCTTGACCAACATTGTAAGAAACAGGATTTGTGTTTCGACATTTACTAGCAACTACGCACACAATGTAAAAGTTGTCCTACAACTTTCTTGAGTCGGAAACTTAGCAACTGGCCAGTGATAATAATAAACATATACAGTGTATAAAATAAAAATTAAAAAAGAAGAGGCATTTTAATCGCTATTACCCATTACTATTTTTCATTTATTGGTGGTCTTAATAAAAAAAGTATTTAAAAACAAAGAACATTAATGACCAATTAAAATGGGCTTGTAGATTTTTATGAAACATCCTTTAATTGCACAAAATGTTACAAAAGGCAATGCAACTGTAAGGTATTGCAATGAAAAATACATTAAAGGCGTAAAATACTGTCGATAAAAACTAGTAATTAATTCTTAAGCCATATTTTAAAACAACACTTCAACAAAGAGATGTTTTTCGTACATTCTGGTTAAAATTATTTGAGTTTTGAGATAAATACGAAGACGCTTACAAGACCTGTTTCGACGTCATAAAAAAACCTTGCACTTTAAACAGTTTGAGAAAAACTCACACAAACCTGTAGTCAGTTTAATGCTGTTAATTACAATGAGTTTTATAAAACTCTTTAAAGTCTGCGTGATTTTAAACTATTTTTACAGAAAAAATGAAATTGCGTAATTCACTTGTCTAACTTACTAACATTATAAATGTCAAAGTTTAGATGGATGGATGTTTGTAGAAGGTATTTCCTAAACACCTAAACGGATGTCTATGAAATTTGACAGAGATGTAGAGCATAGTCTGGAAGAACACATAAGCTTATAACTGTTTTTTTTGGACGGGATCGCGGACAACAGCTAGTGAATATACATTTTTTAAGCAAAGTTTGACATTCCCAATTCAGACGCCGCTTTGAGAGTTTTAACTATCCGAATGCAAAAATCTAAATTTTCGGATAGCATGGGATATTTAAATAAATTATGGATACCTTGATGATACTTGGTCTTATAGTTTCATTCGCTCCTTGTTTTTTTTCTAATAAAAATACATCTGTCCATGGGCGTCCCCAGGTGAAGGTGAAAACATAAGAAAATGCACCCTGCCTTTTATTATGTTTTAGAGAGATTGCTTGCTTGTATAACTACCATTGTTTTCCCAAAAAAAAAATATTGTACAGTGATATTATGTAAATATTTCGTTCACAATAATTACAAACATTACGCAGATTGGAGTTCGTTTTATTTCGACACAACACCGTAACGGCGCGTGCATATAGATAAGGCATTAGGGCTGACAAAAATGTATGAACACAACGATACGATTACACTAAAACGTTTTTTACCGTTGTTAAACATCCCACTAGTACTTCTGAAAATAGGAACGAAAAATAACGCATGTGGCGCCATTTATGACTTTAGCTTTCCACATTAACATGTTGGTGACGCTAATCTCCTTTGGAAATATATAAATTAACCCAATCTCCTAAACAAAGATACTGACTAAGGACAATGGCTTTCTGTATATGTACTGTTAAGAAGAAAATCAGTACTGCGCTGGAGGATTGGCGCAACACTAGATCATTGGCATATACGTCCCGTCCCTATAACAGCTGTCAATGTCATTCAGACGTATTGAGGTATAAGCGCGCCATTCTGGCGGTAGTTGGTGGCTTGAATATTGAAATTAATTACGCTATTACAATTATTGTCTAAAAGTAACAAAGTTAAAAATATGACTTCGTTATGCAGCAACCCTAGACTCCAGCGACACGCTGAACGCCGCTAGGAGACACGTGATCGCCAAGTCACGTTTTTCTATATAACATTTTCCCGGTTTTATCATATAAATCAGTATACATTACCGCTTTGCTTTGTATACTACTAACAGAAATTGACTTAACACCATTCACACTATTCAATGTAGAGTAAATAAAGAAATAATAATGTTAAACATTATTTTAATTGCAAACCTCAAAAACTACTAACGTTATACATTTTTATGATACTTGCATAACATCAAACAATAGCCAATATAATAGGTAACATAATAAAACTAGGTAAGTGATAAGAATAGATACTAAAAAGATTTATTTCCATCGATAGTAGGCGGTTCTAACACTCCTGATAAGTAAGCAGTTGCTATAAAAAAACCTTTTCACGCCAGCAATCGTTAAAACCATCCCAAAGGAATGCTTTCCACAGAAATGTCAACACGTAATAGCTGTAACAATGTAAAAGAAGCACAAGCCAACAATGGTATTGATCACGTCAATAAAGCTGATATTACGTCGTTTATTAACATTTCAGGAATGAAAGTGTTTCAGTCCCATGTCCCTCTGTAATAGCGTGCGCACACCTCAAACAAAACTGTCGCACAACTGTTTAGTCACACTTTGATACCTATGAACTTATATGGAGGACCACTCGATTTTTAGTCGTGCAACTAAACAGTTGAATTACAAAACAATCGACAATCACTCAACAGCTGTGCGGTAATTTAGTCAAAGGTGCCCGCTGTAAAGTTAAAAAATATAACCTCTTAGTTTGGCGTATTTGATTCATATTATTGCGCACAGTAACAGTTCTAATGCTAGTAGCGACATCGGCGAGGTTTCTAGTGTCCCCTTTTTACCATACTTTTAGGGGGGAGAGTTTTTCGCTTTGGCGCAACTTTCTGTCCAGCACCCTGGCCCACTGGTCCCTTATTTGTGTTATAAGAGTAGTCTAACAAATATACTATTTTTAATTTATAAAACATTGAATTTATTGACATGAACGCAGTTTACATACATAATACATTTTTTTAATCTATTCCTGCAACAATTAACATGTATTGACATGAACAGAGTTTCGCAGAGTTTTCTAGTACGTCTAGAACAGAGTTCATTCCACTTTCTTGGTCGATTATAATATAGATGTAACTAGTCACAGTCTAGCGGCACAGCAAGGGCAAATAAATGACATACAAGTCTTAAGAAAACGCAAACTGTATTTAAGTTTTGTCAATAAGATC